CCTGCTAGCGCGTCGAAATTAAAACCTGTCATGACGCCTTAAGGGCTTTAGTTACTAAGAACTGGAGGTTTTAGTACCCTTCTCTCCCCAACCTTAAATTCTTCCCCCATTCACTTGTCCATAAAGTTATAATAGTTTTGCAAAGTTATTTAAGCATGAATTTAAAAATATGGATTGTAGTGTGTTTTTAAAGGTTTAGTACAAACACGGCGTGATAATACAAGACTAAGGCAAGATTCAAGTTCAAGCGCCTTATAAATTTGATTTATTAAAATGAGTTTTTAAAGTTTTGGGTTTCACTGATGGGTAACTTTGTTCCTTTGTATTCCAGCGATGATGGATTTAGTGCATAGTGTCTTACTGAATAATATATGGATAAATATTATTCATTGTTGATTAATAAATTAGTTTATTAGGAAGTACATAAATGGAGTTCACTCGTTAACGCAAATACTTGGGTTAGTTTAATAGTAGGAAAAATGGTGGTGCAATGGCCTCTTGACTTTGCAGCAAACAATGATTTATCTAAAGCTGGGCGTGTAATATGAAGCCTGAACCAATCACGGTTATAGCTTGGTGTACCTGGTACTTTCTAGTAGGATTTTTGCAATTCCGTTATTCTAGATGTTCCTGTACATGTTCAGCCACTGTCACTTACCTATCTGGAGGGTGATATTGTTCGTTGCTAAGTCATAATTTGCAGACCTGTTGCGCCTCTCCTTGCTGTAGCTGAAATACTGTGAAGGTAGCAATTTAAAATTACATTGTATTGGTAATGGTTGGACGGGACACACAAAAATTGAGGTTGGTTAATGGGTGAGGGAATAGGTTTGACGTTCGGCTAGTTGTACACGTTTGTCGTGCCGAATAGGTAAAACTTGCTATTTTGGCTTAAATAGCAACACTTCTTGCCGAATAAGGCAAGTGAAAATTTGTGTGCGCGCAGTTTCGCAAAAATCATTCAGAGCCTAACGGAAAAGATACATTTCATTGTGTTAGACAAGTTTACAATAACTTAATAAGTATATTTAGTTGTACTAGGCTAAATTGTTGAACTTGTTATAATAAGGTTAGGTAAGTTTTCTAAGGTTGTTTTGATACCAAATTATTAACTTTTACATTAACATAAAATCTTTAAAAGTATAAGAATTTTAGAAAACTTAATTTTAAGAGTTCTTGCTAATTGACCAGTTTTACCTATTCGGCACGAGTTCCACAATCTAAACTTTAGGCTTTCGGTAATCCCATTGCTATGAGCTTAGTGACTAGTATGGGCCAGTAGGCCTTCTGCAATGTTCCTCCATTCTTATGTTCTTAAGCTTCACACTTCTCGCACTTGCGGAGTAGTTCTTGTCTGATCACGAGTTAACTTCATTGAAGTAGAAATTTAACTTTTAAGGTATTGCATATTTAACTTGTTAAATTTTCAAATTAAAATTTAATCTCTGTAAAATGTAATGGACACTTGCTCCAATTAGCAAATTCTTTGAAGTTAACAGGTTTAGACAAAAGATGTGGCTTGTCTTCAGTGGGTGTGGTAAATTGATGGAAGATTGTGTGCACATAGCCTTTTCCTTACCAGGGGTTCTTTTAAATGGTCCCATCCAATTTCACTTGGTTGCTTCGGATGTTATACAATAATCCATTCTCCCAAGATTTTCTGTGGGGGGGGGGGGGAGCTGCAGCTCTACGAAGGTTACAGTACTTCATGCAGTTCAGGAAGTTTTGTTTTTAATTGGCTTATCACTTTCGGGCTACTATCTTTACCCGTTTCCCTCCCCTCGCAGTTTTTTTTTTTTTTTGACTTGTGCTCTTGATCAGCTTCTTGCAAGGGTTATTTCCTAAGTCTTAGATTTATTTATGAACTAGAACGTAATGTTCTAGTCCATATGAATCTTTTCAAAATGCTACTATACGAGCCTGTTTAATGAGGCTCCCATGGCTATAATTTTTCTTCTCCACTGGGAAGGAGGTCCTGGCTGTATGCACACTTCGTAGACTTGAGGATAGGCCCTTCACAACTTCACCTGTATGACCCACAAATGTTTAGAGCTTTACATAAACAAGTTTTCCCTTGAAGGTTACTAATGTCTATTGTAAAAAATTCTGGAAGACACATGGGGTAGGAAGAGTTTGATAGTGATGGCGCGACGGGAAGGGAAGCGGCCGATGCCGGGGGATACAGGTAGCTTGTCTATATCCTGGTTGTGAGGGGGGGGGGATATTAGTTTTAACCCTCAAAACGTAGCCTTTACGTATCAACGCTATTTCCAGTTAGGCTAAATTCAGTGACCGAGGTGAAACTTTCTTTGTTAGAGCAGTGAGAGTGGTTAGTGTTATTTTAGAACTGGACACTTGACTATACAAGATTGCTGAAGGTTTTTGTACAATATTTAGGCACAAATCATGATGGTGCACAATGGAAAGACTGATAATCATTATACAAAGTAATGTATTTTCTGGTGCACGCTGCCTTGGTAATAAAATGCAGCTTTTTAAATAGTGTATAAAAGGCAATCTGTTTTAAATAGGTTATTTAATATACCTTCGCCTCGGAAGAAACTTGATTTGGTTCTTAGTGAATGGGTAGAAGACGGTGGCGGCACCCGAAGGAACAGCTCTGCCAAGAATCGTCACTCATGACGACCTTGTATGCTCTCACTACCTTATCGGCTTCACAAGTGTCAAGTCCATTTTTGTTTGCTATTCTGAATTAGTCTTGTAAAAGCTCCCATGATGGTACTTTTTAAATTTTTTTTTGCATCCCCCCCCCCCCCGTGTGGTTCGCAAGTTATTTTTGTGAGTGTATATATATATAGCTACTTAGATGACACTGGCGCACGTCTAGACTGTTCGGCCATTACTGCTCAGTTTTAGTTAAGTATGATCCAAGAATATGCACCATATTTTAAAATGCTCTTGCCATATTTTTTTCCTCCAGTTTGAGTGTTGGCTCGCACGGTGCACTCTACAACGGAAGTGACTTAGTTGGCACTTAACCATTGCCTAGTACTTTTGCCCTAAAAGCACCTTTCTGGCAACTACCCATTAGTCAGAATTTACATACTGTATTTCGGAAATTAATGACTAAGGTTTAAAGTTTTTAATTTTAAAGATGGTTCCTAAAGTTTTTCCCTTAATAGCGCACATAATTAGAGAACTTCAGCCGTTTATTCGTCACTTCAAATAAGGAAGCTGTATCAGATAACTTGATACTATCACTGCTGTCGACGATGGTATTCAGCGTGAAATGGCAAATGTGTAGACACGATAGCAATCATCATTTTGAAGCTGGCTAAGAATCTGGAGAAAGTGTGGGGGGGGGGGGTAGAGGAATTGGGAGAAGCGGGAAGGTGTGCAGGTGAGATGGGGGAATGTGGAGAGTAGATGTGTGTGGAGGGGGAGGGTGAAATACGGTGTGCTTGCGTATAGGGAAAGGGGGGCGGGGTATAATAGAAGTAATAAGTGTTGATTATTGGAAAAGTTAGTTTATTCAGGTACATGTATACATACATTATAATGCAATAAGATCACAGTAAACAGGTGATTTCAGAAAATGCAAAACAACCACTGTGAAAAAAGAGAAATTCCAAGCGCTTTCGTGACTACTCACATTATCAAGGAACTGATAGTTCCTTGATAATGAGTAGTCATGAAAGTGCTTGGAATTTCTCTTATTTTTTCAGTGGTTGTTTTGCATACATTATAATACGTAGCAGCACATGTGTCGATTACGTAGTCTAACTAAAAAAAAAAAAAAAAAAAAAAAAAAAAATCCATGGGGGAGGGATACTGGGAAAACCGGGGGTGTTTGGGTATTGGTAAAGTTAGTGTGCCCTGCTTGCCCAATTGCCCCCACACTTACGTACTTTGTTGGCGTGTGTACATGTACTCTTATTGGTACTGAGGTTGCTTTTTTTTTTTCAACAAGTCATTGTGTTGCTACTATTCTGAATGATAATTACACAGTGGGAACAAAGACTTTCAAAAGTTCCCCCCCGTCATTCCATAACACAGGATCGGGCTCGTAGGTGTGAAAATCCGTCAGAAGCTGGGAGACTTCAGTTGAGCAACGGGGATATTATAAAACATTCTAGCAAGGGTTCATCAGGGGAAGCTTCAGAAGTTTCCTTCGGCATAACTAAATTACTGTCGCTTGGTAATTGATATCTCAGGGTAGCCTATACCATAGACAGGAGAAATAAGGAAAAGTATATACTGAGTGTTTGTAATGTGTGTATTGTGTACTGGGGAAGAGGTATGTGCATATGGGGGGTTGGGGTATTTGGGGGGGGGGAGTATGTGGTGAAAGAAGTGGTGTGGGGGTACATTTTGGGGGGAAATGTGTGAATGGACAGGTGTGGTAGAGGGTGGGGGGTGCATTTGAGTATTGGAAGTAAAAACCTTTTTATTTGGGGTGGGGAGGAAGGGATGTATATTATATGTTGGGTATTGAAGGGGAATGAACACTGGAGTTTTGGTAATTGGGTGGGAGGGTTCAGTAGGTAACACTGGCTGGCCCTGTTAGGGCCACAGACGAAAGAGCATTACTCCAGTCTGGTGACAGTGACCTAGTGTTGGTACAGCAGTCTCTTCCTCTAAATTTTAATTCTTGTTATGCCCTTCTGATTTTTTCATTTCCCCTGCAGGTAAAGCACGAGTAATTTAATTCTGACATTATTATTAAAAGTTAATACCTTTCCAGTGCGAATCTACAAACAGTTCATAAGGTTTCTAGCAATCATAGTTGCTGCAGTTAAATTGGCGAGTTTACAAAGTTCCTTCACTGGCAACATAAACCCTGGGAGGGATCCAGAATAGGCTTTAGATTTTTGTAGCTTTTGAAAATTGTTGAATTATTTAAATTTGAGTTTACTTGCCTGGAAACTTCAAGAAAAATTACATAGACTAATAATAATGGAAGAGGTGCTCTTAGAGGAATGTAAATTTAACTGGTGTAGTGTATAACAAATTATAGCATTTAAATATTTCTTTTCTAGTTCTGGGAGGTGATAAGTGACGAACATGGCATAGACCCAGTAGGCCAGTTCATCGGTGAGGGTGATATGAAGACTATGCAGTTAGAGAGAATTGATGTCTACTACAATGAAGCATCAGGTATGCTGCTGTGTTTGAATGTTTCTATAAGTATGTTTTAAGGTAAGTTGAAGTCTGGTAGATTTTTTTTCTACAAATAATTTCTGCACAGACATTTACCATTTTAGCTAGTACTGTCATGTGCTTATGTTCTCCAGAAAATTTGCAGTCGATTTAATCATGGTTGTTTTTTTTCTTTAGTACATGTTGACCATAATTAATCCTGCATCGGGATGTGTAGGGTGCTGGATTAGTGATTTTTGTGGGATTAGTGGTTAGTGGTTTTCCTAAAAAAAAATCCAAAAAAAAAAAAAAAAAAAAAACTTATCTGTCTACTTGATATAACATGCTCCTGTATGCCTACTGGATGCTCAAGCCCCACCACTTTAACCCTTCCTAAACTCTTTGTAACAATCCCTACTTCGTTCATCCATCTACTTGGTAACCTCATTCTCCTCTATACTTTCTAAATGATTTAACAATATAATAAATATTTATTAGTCAATAGTTTCAGAAATACACAGTATGTAAGTACTGACTAATGGGTAGTTACTTGAAAGGTACTTTTAGGGCAAAAATACTAGGTGGTGGTTAAGTGCCAACTATGTCACTTCCATTGTAGTGTTCAGTCTACACTTTTGCCCTCTGAATTTGAAGTCTTGCAATCCTGTTGTCTAACTTCTACATTAATTCTGTTGAATCACACTGCACATGACCTCTGCTTTCCCTTCACTACTGCAATGTTTAACCCTTAAATGGTCCAAACGTATATATACATTTTTTCAACATCTGAAAGTATGTAAAAAATGTAGATCTTTTTTTTTTGTTTTACATGTGAAAACGTGTAAAGAAAACTTGTCTACATTTTTGTTTGAAAATATGTAAAAAAAGTAATTACTTTTGTAGCACTACGAATTTGAACGTCGATCTGTTTGGACCGTTTAAGGGTTAAGTTATTACTTGCATTTGTTCAAGTGTTGGCACAGCTAGATTGGTACTGTTCCCCCCATTTTGCTTCCATTGATTACTGCTCTCCCCACAGATTCCTTAACACTATTATTTTTCCCTGGCCCTTTTTGCAGTCCTCTCATAGCCCCAGTAAGAAAGGAAGGCATGTACAGTGACAAAGCCAGGACTAAGATCTTTACAAGGAAAATTATGTATAAGGGATACTTCAACAAGATCGGAACTGTGAAGGCTAGGAGTAGGGTAGACAGTTTAAGCAGAGGACCAGTTCATAGGATGATTGCGATCTCTAATATGACAAAAGAGCATTACTGGTGTTGCCATCAGACACTGATAATGCTCTTGTCTGTAATGTTAGAGATCAGTCATCCTATTGACTGGTCTTCTGATTAAACTGTCTAACCTTCACAATTGCTGTCTTGTTCAAGCATCCCTTATACACAACTTTCCTTGTATGAATCTTACTTCATCTATGCTCTCCATTATCTGATGACACTTTAGTAGTTTTTGTTACTACGTATTACAACCCAGGAGTCCCAAAGGCCTGTTATCCTGAGTGTAAAGGGAGCAAAATAAACACAGCAGAAAAACTTGACTTGTCTTATCCTTCACCAGTTTAGAACAGAAGTATGTACACTATGTACAACAGTAGATATTAGTGCACTCCATGGTAAGCAAGGCAGAATAGAAGCCACTAGAGAGCAGACCGTGCTTCAACCAGCTCTAGAATGGGAATGACGAGGGCAGACAGGTGAGTGGTACCCACATCACCTCTGCGATTGCCAAAACCATCTTCTCATTGGCTGGAACCTGGGTACTGATTGAACGACGGGGCTCCATTAACCCTTAGCACCTGGTTCGCTTGTTGGGGGAGACAGCCTTTCAATGAGGGTGTGTACATGCACCGAATAAAGGTTATGTACTCTTTGCATGCCACAGTTACCCTATTATTTTGCTTTATGATCACCTCAGATTTCCTTCTACACACCCACCCAAACTTCTCCACCAGCCTTTGGAACTTTCAACCCCCCAAAAGCATTCTAATCAGCAAAGACTACCTGTGACAGTCTTGCTTCATATTATTCCATCTGTCAACCCAGGCATCTTCCTAACACTTTTGCATTCACTTTTGCAGCCCCATCTATAATTAAACATGGGTCAAAATTTCTTTTCTCAGGCATAATTTTATTGGACAGTGTCTCCATCTCCTACATAATGTAACCTAAGCCTCCCCTCTAAAAACTTTTAATAACCTACCACGTGCATGAATTTACAATGTGATATGACCTTTCTATCCACGTTAGCATAGTTTTTTATAAATGAATGCAGCAGTTTGCTTGGTATTTGTTGTTTTTATACTTAATATAAACACTTGGTCTACATATGCCCTACCCTTTGTAAATTCTTTATCTTCTGCAGTCCTCTTTTCTTATGCCCCCCATTACTCTTGATAATTCTACCATACCCCTAGAAGTCATAAAAAGTTACTCTTAGTTTTGATCACTTGATAATCCTTCCTCAGACTAACCTTACTACTGATACTTGCTCAATAATTCCATATCTTTTAAAATGTGCACATAACCTGATTATACATGCTAGAACTAGTAATTAAGAAATTCTAAGATTCAGAGTTTACCTGAAATGTTTTGCACAACAATAGGCTTTTCTTAGAATATGCAATAAAATTTCCCTTGAAACTGCCTCTGATTTTGTTTACCCGTTACTCTTATTTGTGTAGTTATCTTGGGTTCTTTTTCATCATTTCAGATTAATTAGAAATGTTGATTTATACAGGTGGCCGCTATGTTCCTCGAGCAGTGCTTGTGGACCTTGAACCTGGAACAATGGAGGCAGTGAGGTCTGGGCCTATAGGTAGAATCTTCAGGCCTGATAATTTTGTATTTGGCCAGAGTGGAGCTGGTAGGTGTTAATTTAGTTTGTGATAAAAACTGTCAGGACCTTCAACTTGTATTAATTGTATACAGTTGCCTCACTGAGATCAAAATCCATGGATGGTCAGGTCCCTTGTATAAAATGGTGTATTTTCATATAATTTATGCACATGCTCTGGTATACTTCAAAGCCTCTCTAAAATTACTTTTAATACCCAGTGCAATGTAAATGCTATGTAAATAGTTATACTATATTGTTCAGGGAATAATGAAGACTTGGCAAAACCCTGGATCTTCTCTTTATAACCGTCATATGATGAGCTCTTCTGGAAATGCTGGTGCTGCCTCTTTATCAGCCGATGCAGATTCTCCCATAATCTAACTTTTGAGGCTGTAGCATTTTGTGTAGCTAGCCAGTAGTACTCATAGAAGCTATGCTTTTTCCATAAGATTTTGCCATCAGCATGGATGTGCTTCTGCAATGTGTCCTCAAGCGCCACACTTAATGCTTTCTTAGTATTTGCCAGCACTTTATCACACACTAGTTAGATAATTTTTGCTGTTGTAGGGGCAGCACTAGCACTTTCGTGAATTTCGTCTTTTTGCTTTGTGCAAATGCTTGATTTCTTGCCAACCTTATGGCCCATTACTGCAAGCAACATGCCCCTATTCGAAAGATCCAAAGATTTTTTTTCTTGTCTAGATAGCACTTTATGCTCCCTCTTAGCCTTTGAGGGATTGCTCTGACAACTTAATTTTCTAGGAGCCTTACCCCCTTCCCCCCACAAAAGGTGCACACAGCATGAGTAGTGAACAAACGAGACTTAGAGACGAAAGGTGCTCAAACCAGCATTGTTTGCTTACACATCACTTCATTCACATGGATTCAGCATTTTACTCAATGTGCTGCAATTCAAATTTTGCTTTCTTGGCCATTACCACATTCTTTTCCAACTTTGGAGATGTGTATACAATTGTTTAGATATGAGGTTGTGTATTGTTCCTAATTTTTTTACCTCTGTCATGTTAGCCCTCCTTATTGTGTAGTGCTGAATAAGCACATAGATTTAGTATTTTTTTTTTTTTCCAACATGCTGGCAATCTCCCACTGAGGCAGGGTGACCCATAAAAAGAAACATTCACCATCATTCACACACCACTGTCTTTGCAGAGGCATGCAGATATGATAGTTCAGATGTCTCCAAACAGCAAATACATGTATTAGTATACGTAGTACTTTGCAAATTAAAGCAGCTTGCTAGTTTCAAGTAAGAGGTCTTGCAACTCTTTAATTTGATATGGGTTATTGTTCAGGAGTGAATTGTATAAAAATCTGGGTGTGTCTGGGGTAAAACATTAACCCTTAAACAGTCCAAATGTAGAGCTACGTTCATGTGCGTAATGCTCCAATCGTAGATTTAATTTTTTTTTTTTTTTACATGGTTTCAACCTTGTCATAAGCCAGAGTTGCCTTGACATGAGAAAATGAGTCATACTGCACTCAGCGAGCACAGTATGACAAGTCTGGGATGCCGGGAAAATGCCCTCTTCATTTTAAACAAAAAAAAAAGAAAAAAAAAAAAAAAAAAAAATATTCAGAGCGGTACGCAAGTGAACGTTTATCTACATTTGGACAGTTGAACCCTTTGACTGTTTTGGTTGTATATGTACATCTTATGAGCCAGTGTTTTTGACGTATTAAAGCGCATAAATTCTAGCGGCTTCAAATAAAGCGGGAGAAAGCTGGTAGGCCTACATGTGAGAAAATGGGTCTGTGATAGGTGTGCACAGTATGAAAAAAAAAAATCTGCATTTTGGAAATGCCATGTATTGTTCCCAAGTGATAGTTCTAACACCGATGGAAGTGCCAGTGAAAGTGAATTACGTGGTTTTCAGGAGGGTGTGACTAAGCATTGCCTAAGATAACGTAATTAGTGGTGAAAACCCAGAGGACCCACAACTTTCCATGTCTAGTGCTGTGCTGTCTGTCATGTTCCTCTGTACCTAGGCGAAAGAGGAAAATATTTTCCCATGTACAGGACTTTGGTGTGAGCAGTGAAAATGATAGTGATGGCGATTTCCTAGCTATTGAAAGCACTTCGAGTTGCAACAGTGACGGGAAATATTCTCCAGTGAAGCGGCAGTATGTGTGACGCAGCATGTGCGACACAGCATGTGCTCTGGTAGTGTGCCACAGGCATTTCAAGGGAAAAAAGTGAATATCAGTGTATCCCGTGGCCCTACAACAGGAACTGATAGTGAAGATAGTGACAGTGGGGATGACTTTTGTGCATGGGGCAGCAGATGGTGGTGGTGTTAGTAGTGGTGTTGGCAGTGGCATGCCTCGTGTGGCATTAGGAGTGGGCAACGCTGGTACCCACACTGCTAACTTGCCCCAGCCACAACAAAGCCCACTCTCAACCTCCACAATCCCCTATCAACATCCAGTACCCACTAGCAGACCATATCTGGGAGTGGCATCAAGGTGCCAATTTTGTTCCCAATCCCCATCACTTTGATGAAACAGTGGAATACGGCCATCGTGTACACTTGAACAATGCCACTGAACTGGAATGCTTTATTCTTTGATGAACCCCTGATGGAAATTGTCAGGTAAAGCAACACATACTATGAGTACACCATGGCAAACTCGATTCTTTCACCAAGATTACGGCTACACCAGTGGAAGAACACAACTATGGCAGAGATGTACCTGTTCTTTGCCACAATAATGCTTATGCCACATGTGTATAAGCAGTCGCCACATACTGGTCAACGGGCTGCCTGATTTCAACCCCAGGTTTGTGATATAATACCAGTGAATCTATTTCTGCTGTTATGTATGCTACACTTCTCGGGCAAAATGAGGCCTGACAGAAACGACAGGTTATACAAGATCAGGAATGTGTTTATGTACCTGAAACAAAAGTGCTGTATGCATTTTTATCCCTGCAGAATGCTTGTTATCGAAGTGAGGTGCAGGAGTCAGCTGCCAATGACATCATAACATTTCGGTGGCATGACAAATGTGATGTCACATTGTTGACATCAGTTCGCCGAAATGAAATGGCAGTGGCAGGCAGGATAGACCAATGAACCCATTCTAAAACCTGCAGCTGTGATGGACTACAACCTCAATATGCACTTATTGGACAAATGTGACCTGCAGATTGGGTTTGCTGATTGTTTGCAAGAGATATAAGTGGTACATAACTCTTTTTTCCATCTTGACATTTCCATGCTGAATGCTTATAATATATACATGTATAAGTTGAAGACCAACAACAAACCAAAATATGGTGAATTTTGTTTGTCAGACAAATAATATTAAAGTACCAAGCAACAACACCTGCAATAGACCAGTGCCCACAAAATTATCAGCACATCCCTCTTGTCTGAGGCCAGGTGATCACTACCCCATACAACTGCCTCCTACTACTTTCCAGAAAATTGCTCAGGTTTTATCTCCATGCACATACCACAAAACACTCGCAAAAACACTCATTTTGTGTAAAATACCACTGTGCATATACCATGTTTCAAAATTCCACAAGCTGCAACAGTTTTAGTCAAGTGTCCAGTGACTGTACATTTGTATAATCGTAATAAAAAAAAATTTTTATTGCTTTGTGTAAACAAGTTTTGTAAACAATGATAAAAATGTTTGTACAGTTATTGTTTATACAAAGTGTATATATGTACATTGCACCTTACATTGGTCTTGCATGCCACATAAGATACTTGGAAAAAAAAAAAAAAAAAATATTGAAAGACAATAGACCTTTGAATTGGAGTAATTATAAAAATACAGGGTGACTGGCATTTGCTGCTGTTGCCATACACGGCTCGTTTTCAGCCAACTTTATACCTCTATATCTTGGTAAGTACTGAATGTAAAAATTTATTTTGGGAGCTTAAAGCAATCAGCAAATTAATCTTTACATTTTGGCAAGAAAAAATATATTTTTTTTTTCTCAAATATTTTGCGACATGCACACACTTCAGGATTTGGGGTTGCAACAGTCAAAGGGTTAAGGGTCAACTTCCAACACTACTGCTACTGGTAATTATTTTCAGTGTTTTAATAAAAGTTTTTTCTTGTATGTTTGTATGGTGAAGTCTGAAAAATACTCTACTCTGTACTGTACAATGTTTAATGAAATTACTAAATTTAAAGCCTTAAACTGATAGTAAAGGTTTGTAAATTTAGTGCTGTAGGTATGACAATAGTAACGGTATATTATAGCTTTTTATTCTTATTTTAGGGAACAATTGGGCTAAAGGTCACTACACGGAAGGAGCTGAATTGGTGGATTCTGTTATGGATGTTATGCGAAAGGAGGCAGAAAATTGCGACTGTCTCCAGGGCTTCCAGTTAACACACTCCTTGGGTGGTGGTACAGGTTCAGGGATGGGCACACTTCTAATCTCAAAAATACGTGAAGAATTTCCCGACAGGATTATGAACACGTTTTCTGTTATTCCTAGTCCAAAAGTAAGTGTTACTATGTGGTCATTCAATGGCTTGTAAAATGATGTATTAGAAATTAGAAATGTATCCTGCATACTGGTTTTTCCTGGTTAATTAGTGTATTTCATTTTTGACAAGGTGTCAGATACAGTTGTGGAACCCTACAATGCAACCCTCTCGGTGCACCAGTTGGTAGAGAACACTGATGAAACTTTCTGCATAGATAATGAAGCTCTTTATGAAATCTGCTTTAGAACGCTCAAGCTCACTTCTCCCTCCTACGGCGACCTCAACCACCTTGTCTCTGTAAGTAATCTAAAACTCCTAGTTGTAACAAAACCTTTGATATATTGTAAGTTCAGAAAGTTCTTGCTTAATGAAGTTTCATTATAATTGTGGGAAAAATTTATTCCTGGCCAGGGCCACTGTCTGTGGAGTTTGCATTTTCATTTTTGAACTGTATAGTGGTAGGAGGTGCTCCTTAGTTTTCCCTTTGCAAACATTTATTCCTTGATTTAACCCTATTGGAAAGGGTGTTGAAGGTGCTCTGCACCCCCTGATGTTTATATCAATTAACCTATGGTAAATTGGTTTCATTGTAAGTCTTTTCACTTGGTTGCAGTTTCAGAGAACCTATCAACAATGTTAAGTGAGGACTTGCTGTAGGTTAGTTTACTGAACTGTGGCAGTCAAGTTAAGGGGATGGTAAGTCGTGCCCTTTTATCTCTGAAGGTGTCATTTCTATGTAAATTACTAGTTTGAGATTTATATGAAAAAAATAGAAATTACATAATTTATAACATTTGCCATAAGCCTCTTTAAATCCCTTGAGCAAAAGTCTGTATTTGTATAAGCCTTTAGAATTTGGCAATCCTGAAATATACGAAACAAGAATGAACGTGGCTGCTGTTGGCCATTGGTGTCCATAGTCTTGCTCAAAGCCTGAAGGCCTTTATTACCCTATCACTTTTACTAATTTAGATTTTGGTCAGTTTGTGCAGATTTACTTGGTGCCTACATTTATTCAGTTTATCTACATTGGCCGTATTCCACTAGGGTAGGGTGACCCCAAGTGGAAAAATATTCCATTCATAACTAGTTTTTTTTTTTCTTTGACTCCTTCATAAATTTTATCTTGCTCACATTCACCAGCACACACAACCCTAAATATTTAACTCTTCTACTCTGGCGAGTATATTCTCAAAGCCTACCGGATGCTAAAACCTCTTCACTTGCAACCTCTCGCCTCCCTCTGACTGGGATGGACCCCCTTTCCCCCCCATTCCCCAACCATCCCTCAGCCATTTTATTCAGTTTAATCTACTGTAACAGGACCTTAGTAATAGCCCATCCTCACCACCCTTCAAATTTTACATTTTGTAACTACAATCCTCCAGTGACTATGCTCCTAATTCTTTGCATAATCACACCCCACATTTTTAAGTATTAAATCTCCATTACCTTCAACCCCTTTCTCCCACACAAATGAGTTACCTTAACCCTTAAACTGTCCAAACGTAGATCTACGTCCACGTGCATTTTTATTTCTCTACATGCTTTCAAATGGGGAAAATCAAGGTCGGAGTGCTACGCACGCAAACGTAGATCTACACATGGACAGTTTAAGGGTTAATCCAGTACTGGAGTTTGATTGGTTTATGCCTAGCAGTTGGGAAGGGGGGGGGGCTCTGAGGTGGGAGCCACTTCCTACAAGCTATGCCCCCCCCCCTCCAGATTAGTACGTGCATTAACCCTTTGTTTCGGCCGTATATATACGTCTTACGAGCCAGTGTTTCAGACGTATATATACTCTATAATTCTAGCGGCTTCAAATCAAGCAGGAGAAAGCTGGTAGGCCCACATGTGAGAGAATGGGTCTGTTTGGTCAGTGTGCACCACGTATAACAAAATCCTGCAGCATGCAGTGCATAATGAGAAAAAAATTTTTTGTTTTTTTTTAATTGCCGACTTCGTGGTATATTTTCGTATAGTTTTTATGGTTGTATTCTCATTTTCTTGGTCTCATTTGATAGAATGGAAAACATATTTTTGAAATAGAGGTGATTTTGATTGGTTTTACTATGAAAAGAATCTTGAAATGGAGCTCAAAGTAGGGGAAATGTTTGATTTTTGCCGGTGTTCAAAAGTAATCAAATGATGTCATTTTCCAATAAATGTCCAAGTAGCCATTCTAATATGCAGTCATGAATGGGTTGACATTATTTATACAATTATTACAATATTACAGTAGACTGCATAACAGTAAATCTTCTATTTTTTGTTTGAATAAAAATTCAAAATGGAAAGAAACAGTAATATCAGAGGGGCCTGGAGACATGACTGATGAACAAAGAAAATGTTTTAGAGCCAGGAATGTCTGCATTGTTCATTCTGGACCCTATTTTGAAATTCATATGTTTTAATTTTTGTGAAATTGGCCAGATTGCAAATTTCTGACCACGTTATTGGGTAGTTGAAACCGGTAAATGGGCAGTTTCCTGTACTCGATCGATAGAACAAATGGAGTTCTAAAGAAATAGCAAAGAGTTTGGTCAACGGGAACAATGAAATTAGCCGAAAATAGGGCTCAAAGTGGGCGAAATCACAATTCGTAAATATCGCCGAGGTCGCTAACTTCGCGAGAGCGTAATTCCGTCAGTTTTCCATCAAATTTCATTCTTTTGGTGCCGTTACAATCTAGAAAAGATTCTCTTGTCGTTTCATGAGAAAATCCCCCCACCCCCCAGAAATTTTGTGACACCAGGAGATGCCTCAGGATTTGGGGTTGCGACAGTCAAGGGGTTAAAATTTAGAAAATGCTAAATTAATAAAATCACTTTGTTCTTAGTATGGTGGCACTATTGAAGTGGTGGGATATTCCCCTTTTTTATTAATTTGCAAACCCTTATGGATAATACTGACAAATTATGACTGTAAATTGCATGTAATGTGAATGTTATATTGGTGTCTCTTGACTGGTAGATTGACAGCAGAACTAAAATGTTGACGTTCTGTAAATGACAGGCTAGCAGAGCCATGGGTGATGCCCATTGTAACTCCACACAGCTAACATCCTAAAGCATTTACATCAGGATATTAGCTGTTGCAATTGAAGTTCACTTTGTTGACTAGTAGCATTGTGCCAGAAAAGGAAGTTTGCAGATGTAATCTTTGATGGTGCCACTGATATTTAGAGGCTAGAAGAGGTTCATGTTCGCATATTGAATTGTACAGAAAACTGTTATAAATTTATTAAATTATTTTACATTATTTGTGTACATAGAAATGCATGACTAGGTATGAAATGGCTTAATTTCTGAGACTAACACTTTGGATGGAAAGTGGCAAAATGTTCTTGGTACAGAATTAGGAACTTTGAGATGCTCAGTCACTTTAATGAAGCATAGCAATGATTTATTTATTTATTTATTTATTTAAAAATTTGTGCACACATACAGAGGTACAAAAAATACAGAAAAGAGCAGTATGCCAAAGCCACTTATACTATGCATAGCATTACGGGCTGGCTTAAAATTAACTTAAGATGAACTAAGCAATGATGACATCGGTGATAAAACTTTAATGTAAACAGATTACTATAAAGCACAAGTGAGTATTACAAAGACAGGTCATATGGTTGTATGCATTGTTGTACATTCAGTAGAATGGAGTATTCTGTTAGGTAGTGTATTTAAAAAATAATAAAGTTAGATTGGGTTTTAGGTTTAACATTTATGTGATATAATTGTGAGAAACATTTAAGATATACAATTTATAAGGTTCAGTTATTCAGTATTTATTTGGTTTTGGGTGAGTAAGTGATCTTTGAGAAGAGACTTGAATTTAAAACAGGTAGTGTTTCTTTTATTTTACAGGTAATGAGTTCCAGATTTTAGGGCCTTTTATGTGCATTGAGTTTTTGCATAGTGTGAGATGGACACGAGGAACATCAAAGAGTGATCTGTGCCTTGTGTTATGGTCATGTGTTCTGTTGAGGTTGGCAAGGAGATGTTTGAGGGGAGGGTTAATATCAGAGTTAAGTGTTCTATGTATGTAATAGGTGCAGTAATAAGTATGAATGTTTTGTATGGTGAATAGGTTATGTGTATTGAATATTGGTGGAGTGTGCTGCCTATAGTGAGAATTTGTTATCATTCTAACTGCAGCCTTTTGTTGGGTAATTAGTGGTCTGAGATGGTTACTTGTTGTTGAGCCCCATGCACAAAAATTTCCCTAGGTGAGATAGGGGTAAATAAGAGTGAGATATAGGGCCAGGGAGGGCTGACTGTGGAGCATAGTACCGTATCTTCGATAGTATGCCTACAGTCTTGGAAATTTTCTTAGAAATTTGTTGTATGTGTATGAAATTTGAGTCTATTATCAAGGTGGATTCCTAAGAATTTTCCCTCTGTTAGCTTTGTGATAGGTGATCCGTTTTCATTATGTTAAGAGGGACATCTGTAGCTCTGTTACCAAACTGAATGAAGTAGGTTTTGTCAATGTTTAGTGTAAGTTTGTTAGTCCTCATCCAGGTAGATATTTTCTGTAATTCTGTATTTACAGTATTGGCTAGCGTGACTGGGCTCGGGTGGGAGAAGACGTATGTAGTGTCATCTGCAAATAGTGTGGGTTTGAGTAATTGCGAAGCATTTGGTAGGTCATTTATGTATAGGAGAAAGAGAAGAGGGCCAAGGACACTTCCCTGTGGGACACCAACTGTAATTGGTTGTGCAGAAGAGTTTGCCCCATTTGCATACACATATTGGCTTCTGTTGCTGAGGTATGACTTGAGGTAGTTGAGGGAGTGCCCTCTTATACCATAGTGTGACAATTTTACGTGGAGCAAGTCATGGTTAACTGTATCAAAAGCTTTACGTAAGTCAATGAAGATCCCCAGTGGGACTTCTTTTTTCTCTATTGCAGTGTATATATGTTCTAGCATGTGTATAATAGCATCATTAGTATTTTTATTTGGCCTGAATCCAAATTGGCAGGGGTTGAGTATGTTTTGGGAGATAAGGTAGGAGTAGATTCGTTTATGAATTAATTTTTCGAAGATTTTTGAGAGAGGGTGTAAGTTGGTTATTGGCCTATAGTTATTCAACTCTGTTTGGTCTCCTCCTTTGTGGATCGGGGTGACCCTTGCTATTTTGAGTACTGTGGGGAAGGTGGAGGATTCAATGGATTTGTTAAAGAGTGTTGCAATGATTGGTGATAGCACTTGACACTTTTTTGTATATAAAGGGTGGTAAGGTATTTAAATCTCCTGCCTTGTTTTTTAGCGTGTTGATAATAAGGGAGACTTCGTATGGGTTAGTCGGAGCTAGGAACAGTGTGTTCGGGTAGTTGCCAGTGAGGTAGTCATTTGGTGGGGTATCTGAGCTTGGGATTTTATTGGCAAGGTTTTGTCCTATAGTGGAGAAGAAGTCATTGAGTCTGTTTGCTGTTTCTGTTGGTGGGAGTTGGGGTTCATCTGATTTTGCTAATTTTATTTCGCTATTTCGTGATATCTTTTTTGTTCCTAGAATTTCTGATAGGTTTTCCAGGTCTTTTTTATATCACCTCGTAAGTTGGATAATCTGTTCTCATAATACAATTTTTTTGCCCTTCTTATCAGGCTGGTTAGGATTGACGAGTAACGTTTTGTTTGGTCTCTGGTTATGTGACCCATTCTGTACTGTTTTTCATATTGGTGTTTTGTATTTATGGATTTGAGAATGCTGGGTGTTAACCAGGGACTGTTCAGTCTCTTAGCTGTCATCTGTTTAGTTTTTTTAGGGCAGTGCTTGTTATAGAGGTATTGGGTCTTTTTTAGAAAATTATTAATACATTCGTCAATATCTGTATAGATTTCTAGCTCAGTGTGCCAGTCAATGTTTGCTAATGCTGTTGTGAAGTTATTAATGGCTGCCTCATTGTGAAGTCTGAAGGTGACTTTAGTAGTGTCTTGGGGTAATTTACCAAGAGTTATGAGAAAAGTAGGGTAGTGGTCTGTGGTATTATCTGTAATTATGCCTGATTTTAAAGGGGATATGGTGTTGGTCCAGATGTGGTCAAGTAGGGAAACACTTAGTCTCTGTAACTCTGTAGGTTTTGTTACTGTTGGTAGCAACATACAGTTACTCATTGTGTTTGTGAATTCAGTAACGTGTGGGTCCTGGTCTTGCAGGAGATTTATATTGAAGTCACCTGAGAGTAGTAAGTGATCTTTGTTCATGCGTGCATCAGTTATCATACTTCCTAGGTTTTGACTAAATTGGCTAATGTTTGACTGTGGAACTCTGTAAATGTTTATCAATGTGAGAGGATTTTGTAGGTATTTGGATTTGAATTTGGCTATTATATATTCCCCATGTTCATCCCTTGTGCAAGTATTAGTGATACATTCTAGTTGGTCTGAGTAGTATATGGCTGTGCCACCCCCTTGTTGGTCTGGCCTACAGTTGTGTATGGCTGTGTAACCAGGAATGGCATAGACATCTGTACTATCAGGCTTTAGCCAGGTTTCAGTTAGTGTAATGATGGACATATTGGCATGTAAGGAATTTAGTAATGCTATGAGGTCATCGTAATGCTTGCTTAAAGATCTGATATTGTAGTTAAAGATAGTTATGTTGTTGTTGGCACTGAGAAGTGCCTTTGATTGTTCTGCAGTGTAGTAATTACAGTAACTGTTTGAATCATTTAAGTCATTAAATAAGAGGTTGGTATCAGGATCAATGCTTGTAATCATAAGATTTGTAGTGAATCTATAGTTAGATGAGCTGAATGTTGCTTACTAAACTTTCTTGAGCAATTTTATGCCTAAATTTCATGTAACAGTATCTGCATGGGGCAGCTCCTTGATGCTGGTGAGGGGCTCTTGATCTAGGGAATTGGATCTGTGCTCCAGTTCCCTGAATTAAGCATGAATACCTTCCACATCCTCCCCCTTTCCCCCACGGCCGACTTGTTGGGGGGGGGGGGGGAATTCATTCTTTACTACAGTTTTACTTTTATTTTAAATTATGCCAATGTTTACTAGTTTCATCAGTATTTTTATTTTAGACTAAACAATATTAACAGGTGCACTGTCACCCTGCCAGTCAACATAGGCAGTTGGTTATCAGATTCCTTTAAACATTTTCTCCTTCACTAATGGTTGCTTGAAAGTTTCAGGAACACAGGAAGCAGGTCATGATACAGGTATTAGCACTAGTTGAAGATATTCCCTGTGCTAGGATACCATGGTGTCAAAAAATTACATTATGGAATGGTATACAATACTATTGGTAACAACTGTTCAGCATAACCTATTTGTTACTAGACTTTGCTTGCTAGTGACATGACCAAGCTGCTGAAAGTACTATAATTCGTATGTTGAATATTAACTTTGCTTTCATTGTTCTAAAATTTCCCATCTGGCATAGGTTACAATGTCTGGTGTGACCACGTGTCTGAGATTTCCTGGCCAACTGAATGCTGATCTCAGGAAGCTAGCAGTCAACATGGTGCCTTTTCCCCGCCTTCATTTCTTCATGCCAGGATTTGCTCCTCTTACATCCAGAGGGTAGAGTTCTTTAGCTTTTAGCATGTAATGGCTTAGATACTGCTGCAAGTTTTAATGCAATGTTAGTTCCTAGGTAATGCAGGAATTTTGGTGCTCATTGGCATCATTAAACATCAAGCCCTAAATTAATTTTAATCTTTGGTCTGTTGCAATCCATCAATAAATGGAAAAGTACAATATGGTCTGTTCAATTGAAGTTTAAATATTAAAATTTTGAAGAAAAGTTCTAAAGGAACTGATGCAATATTTTAAATATTGCATTGTGAACTGTACCCTTGTTTTTATTAACCAAGTTCTGTTCAACAGGTACTTCTATTAAAATTTCTTTGGTTATTGTTAAAATGTTTATAATATGGAAAAGGATTGAAAGGCCTTTAATAACAGTAGTACAGGTTTAGGGCACTTTGAATACTATACAGGAGGGTCCCACTATGGAGCAGTTTTCAAATATACCCATTCTTCATTTATTCAGACTTCCTAAATATATTCACGACTCGCTATAAGTTAAGGATGAAAATATTTTAAGTAATGTATATACTCTATATGCATTCTTGTTTAGGCCTAACTCTCCAACAGGCCTGCTGCAGTGTTCCTGCTTTATGTTCTTACTGAACATGTTTACATTATCATATCAGGCTTTATATGCATTTGAAAGGGGGGGGGGGGAAGCAACATTTCACTTCACAGCAATTTTTCACCTTTCAGCAGTAGCCTGGAACATAACATGTTGTGTAGGTGGGGTGGGCCTGAATTTTTTTTGAGGGGAGGGGGAGTTTTAGGCTTCTTTAAAGTGATTAGTCATACACATTAGACTGATAGTAATCTTTTGATTAATTGCTAACCCTCTTGATTTAGTATTTTAATATATGTAATTAAAAACTGAAATAATGCAAGTGAAGCTTGGGTGGTAAATGCAGCAGCGAGGAGACGGTTGGAGGCAGTGGAGATGTCCTGTTTAAGGGCAATGTGTGGTGTAAATATTATGCAGAAAATTCGGAGTGTGGAAATTAGGAAAAGGTGTAGTTAATAAAAGTATTAGTCAAGAGGGCAGAAGAGGGGTTGTTAAGGTGGTTTGGTCATTTAGAGAGAATGGATCAAAGTAGAATGACATGGAAAGCATATAAATCTATAGGGAAAGGAAGGCGGGGTAGGGGTTGTCCTCGAAAGGGGGTAAAGGAGGTTTTGTGGGAGAGGGGCTTGGACTTCCAGCAAGCGTGCGTGAGCGTGTTAGATAGGAGTGAATGGAGACGAATGGTACTTGGGACCTGACGATCTGTTGGAGTGTGAGCAGGGTAATATTTAGTGAAGGGATTCAGGGAAACCAGTTATTTTCATATAGTCAGACTTGAGTCCTGGAAATGGGAAGTACAATGCCTGCACTTTAAAGGAGGAGTTTGGGGATATTGGCAGTTTGGAGGGATATGTTGTGTATCTTTGTGTGTATCCTTCTAAACTGTTGTATTCTGAGCACCTCTGCAAAAAGTGATAATGTGTGAGTGTGGTGAAAGTGTTGAATGATGATGAAAGTATTTTCTTTTTGGGGATTTTCTTTATATTTTGGGTCACCCTGCCTCGGTGGGAGACGGCCGACATGGTTTTTTTTTTTTTTTTTTGTAAACAGGTCTCAGAGCTACAGGGCTCTGACTGTTCCTGAGTTGACCCAGCAGATGTTTGACAGCAAGAACATGATGACAGCGTGTGACCCCAGGCATGGTCGCTACCTCACTGTTGCTGCAATCTTCAGGGGAAAGATGTCCATGAAGGAAGTAGATGAACAGATGTTATCAGTTCAGAATAAAAATTCCAGGTAAATGTCAGATTTTAGCATGGCAATTCTTAAGGTATGAGATGTTCAAACATTAACTGCTTTAGGTAATATAATTTTAGATGGCATTGCTAATAAGATCCATTTTAATAATGAAGGTACATGTACATTGTGGTTGAATATTTGTACAGTGCTAGTTAGTAAACGAGAGGGGTAAATGACAGGTGAATTTAAGTAAAGTACTGGTGTTTTTTACCGAGGGAATAATAAATATTGCATTTTTAGTATTTCAAAGGGCGAGTAATGGCCATCTTAAATTCATAATTAATTTTGTTCCTGAGTAGAGGGGTTTAACATTCAACAGTACTGTATATATCCTCATGATTGTGTGGCATGTAATTGTGCCATTATGGTTTTTCATCAGGGTAGTCAGTCTAAAGATTGGAATAAGAATTTCACTGGTTATCCATTGTCCACAAAAATAATCAAAGACCTCACCTTTGTGAAAATCATTAAGAAGCAAAAATATAAATCTAAAACTGTAATCTTGGTACTTTCCTTTAATATTGTTCTCCCCTTGGCCTTTACCTTTTGAAGTTATTTGTACTTTCTTTCACTGGGATTCCTGAAGTAATCAATGGATAACTGGTTGACCCTAAATGTACCTGATCTGCTGCAGGCACAACCTGGATGAAATGTGGCAGGGTTCCTTCTTTTACGTTAAATTCCAGGCATTCTAAATAGGATAGAGATCTGGACTTCCTGGCCATTTTTTGGTACTGTGAAAGAGTGCTATTGTGCAGAAAGGTGATGTAGCCATGAATTTTGAAAATGTTCAGCAGTTAGTTCTTGAAAATTTGTTTTTGTTCTATATATTGATTTTTTAAAAAATTTGTAGTAAATGGTAAGTTTGAGTCACAGGTGCACATAGTTATAGATTATCATGCATAGCAGCATGTGTAGATTACCTAGGATAATCCAGAAAAGTCAGTGACTTGTTTCCATATGGGTCCTTGGCTTATTTCTGCAGATGCTGCAATTCAATGGGTGTTCAGATTCCAGATGCTTTTATGGGTCTTGGTCTGCACAAGTGTGGCAATTTCTTATTTACAGATGTGGGTTATTTGAACTAGGTATGATAAAGGAAATTTTTTAAAGCTCTAATTGCTATATTGCTTTTATAGGATACTTTTACCAGAGGTTTCTGAATGTTTGTATTTTTTTTATATCAAAGTACAGTAATGTTTATCAGTGGTCTGTAAATCTTGGTTTGATTTTAAAGGGTGGCAGATTGAAGTTTTTTTTTCCTAGTGACTAGTTATTGATTTCATGAAAAGGGTCAAGTGTAAGTGGCAAAAAGATGAGTATATGTATGGTTAAATTAAATTAAAAACAAATAAAAAAGGGGTCATCACTGAATATATTAACCATTGGACAGGTCCAGACCTCCAATCTCTAACTTATCCACTGGGTCCATGAGTTTTTCCGAAGGTAATAACGCCAAAAGTACCAAATTTGATGAAATTCTTTCACAAAGTTAATGGTCTCTATATTCACACTCCAGTGACTGAGTATGTAGGAGAGGGAGATTATTTCTCAGTGAAAGCAGGCCTTGGACAAGGATGTGTGATGTCACCGTGGTTGTTCAATATACAATATTTATAGATGGGGTTGTAAGAGAAGTGAATGCGAGGGTCTTGGCAAGAGGTGTGGAGTTAAAAGATCAAACACAGTGGGAGTTGTCACAAATGCTTTTTGCTGATGACACTGTGCTTTTGGGAGAGTCTGAAGAGAAGTTGCAGAGGTTGGTGGATGAATTTGGTAGGGCAATGCGTGGTGTAAATATTATGCAGAAAATTCGGAGTGTGGAAATTAGGAGAAGGTGTGGCTAATAAAAGTATTAGTCAGAGGGCAGAAGAGGGGTTGAGGTGGTTTGGCCATTTAGAGAGAATGGATCAAAGTAGAATGACATGGAGAACGTGTAAATCTGTAGGGGAAGGAAGGCGGGGTAGGAGTTGTCCTCGAAAGGGTTGGAGGGAGGGGGGTAAAGGTTTTGTGGGCGAGGGGCTTGGTCTTCCAGCAAGCATGCCTGAGCATGTTGGGTAGGAGTGAATGGAGACGAATGGTATTTGGGACCTGATGAGCTGTTGGAGTGCGAGCAGGGTAATATTTAGTGAAGGGATTCAGGGAAACCGGTTATTTTATATAGCCGGACTTGAGTCCTGGAAATGGGAAGTAGTACAATGCCTGCACTTTAAAGGAGGGGTTTGGGATATTGGAGGGATTTGTTGTGTATCTTTATACATATATACTTCTAAACTGTTGTATTCTGGGCACCTCTGCAAAAAGTGATTGTGTGAGTGAGGTGAAAGCGTTGAATGATGAAAGTATGTATTTTCTTTTTGGGATTTTTTCTTTTTGGGTCAGCCTGCCTCGGTGGGAGACGGCCGACTTGTTAAAAAAAAAATAAAAAGTAAATAGAAAATTAAAAGTGAATATAGGAAAGAGTAAGGTTGAGGATAACAAAGATTAGATGAAAGATTGGAGGGAGGGAGTATGGAGGTGGTGAATGTATTCAGATTGTGAAGGCTTACTCAGTCCTGTAACAACTTCAGACAGTATTACCAAGGCTGGCTCCTCAGAAAAATTAATGAATAGAAAAAGAAATAATTCAGAAAGATAAACACTTTGCATTACTAAATAATAAAGATAAAACATTGAAACATGAAGGAGTTTCCTACTTGAAAGAAAAATGAAAAATGATATGAAAAATTGCCATTTGAATTAAACGCTAATGTGTACAAGTAAACTGGGGTGTCTAGTTGATGTTGACAGTCTTCTTGAAATTGTAGCCATTAATGATGGGGGGGGGGGGGGTCCACAGGTGTAGTGACAACCCAACGACTAGTTCTCAAGAGTTTATAGCCTTGAATAGTCAGTCCAGATGACAGGGATGCAGGTTCTTTACCACTACAAAGATGAGGGGTAGTGTCCTGTACAATTAATCAGGTAGGCAGATCAAAAAGTGATGTCTCAGGACCTTTTCAGTCACTCCTTCAACACTTTTCGTTGGTTGGCAGGTGACCCGAGCTGTCATTCCAAGCTGGAAAGAGACAGGTTACCCACTGCTTAAGAAATAACTCCATGATAAGTGCAAGATACTTAAAGGTGGTGATTATCTAAGTCTCATGTGGAGATTAAAACTGAAAGGACTAAGTTTATTATTGGTCAAAAGTGAAGCTCTCAACCAATATCCACTAGAATAGGAGCAGAGGCTTTACTTATAGTTGTGCTGGGAGCTGTGAGTCGAGTGATTACTGTTTGGCCGGAGCCCCACACGTCACCTTTCGGGGTGGGGGGAAAAGGGGGGGGGGATAGCGGGAGCTAGACTGACCCTACCTTAACAAGCAGCCGGGAATCAAACTATCATTACCATATACTCGCTCGCTACTCCTATCTGTTGAACTTTTCCCTCGCACACATATTTGGGAGTGGACATGTCAGCAGATGGGTCTATGAAAGATGAGGTGAATCGTAGAATTGATAAGGGAAAAAGGGGTGAGTGGTGCACTTAGGAGTCGGTGGAGACAAAAGTTCCTCCTTGGAAACAGAGGGGAATGTATGAGCGTATAGGTTTACCAACGCTCCTATATAGGTGTGAAGCGTGGGTGATGATTGTTGCAGCGAGGAGAAGGCTGGAGGCAGTGGAGATGTCATGTCTGAGGGCATTGTGTAGTGTGAATATAATGCAGAGAATTTGTAGTTTGGAAGTTAGGAGGTGGTGCGGGATTCAGAGGTGTCGTAGGGGGGGGGGCACCCCGGGTGACGCCATTTAGGGGGGCGACACCATAGAGCCTCTAAAGGTGACACTAATGCACAAAAGTGCCTCGCCAACATAAGAGAAAAATCCTTCGTTGATTTTGATTTGATATTGATGTGAGATTTTGCATAATTGAAGGCAAGGAAATGTAATATCAGATTTACTGTGATGTTACCTGTACTCAAGGTCATATTGGAACTAGTTTCTCTGATATTGCAATGTTTTTCTTTATTTTTCAAGTTTTTTATTTTTTTTTAGTTTTGGAATTGATAAATGTAGGATCTATTGCCTGTACTCAGTGGTATTGGAGTTTTTCCTCAATATTACTACGATTATTTATTTTATCATTAATAAAGTTGAGAAGTATTCTCCTGTTCAGTTTATGGCCCTTAAACATTCTCATTGCTCAACATTTGTCGCTGGTCATGCAGTAGTGACATAACTGGAGTTTACCCCCCATCCCCCCCGCCCTTGAATTTCATGGGGGTGACACCAAAGATTCCGCCCTGGGTGACGCCAACTCTAGCGACACCTCTGGCAGGATTGCCTGAACTGTTGTCCTGAGGAAGGGTTGAGGTGGTTCGGACACGTAGAGAGAATGGAACGAAACAGAATGGCTTCGAGTGTGTAAATCTGTTGTGGAGGGAAGGCGGGGTAGGGGTTTGCCTAGGAAAGGTTGGAGGGAGAGGGTAAAGGAGGTTTTGTGTGTGAGGGGCTTGGACTTCCAGGAAGCATGCGTGAGCATATTTGATACGAGTGAATGGAGTTTTTAATACTTGATGTGCTGTTGGAGTGTAAGCAAAGTAATATTTATGAAGGATTTCAGGGAAACTGCAAGCCGGACTTGAGTCCTGGAGATAGGAAGTACAGTGTCTGCACTCTGAAGGAGGGGTGTTAATGTTGCAGTTTTATAAACTGTAGTGTAAAGCACCCCTCTGGCAAGACAATGATGGATTGAATGATGAAAGTTTATCTTTTTCGGGCCACCCTGCCTTGGTGGGAATTGGCTGATGTGTTAATAAAAATAAAAAATTATGACTTTTGCCCACATTGTCTTATTTTAGGCAAATTCCTTCGTTCCAGTTCACCAAACTCTCGTCAGTTTCGCTAATATGCCTTCTAGCAATTGAGCACAAAAAATGGCTGTTTAACTATTTCAGCTACCCAGTAGTGATTTGAAATTTGCACAATTTTACAAAATTCAGAAATTGTAAATTTAAAAATTGGGTCCAGAATAAACAATGTAGATATTGTAATTGCATAAATGTCGGCACACTTGTGAACATGTATTACAGATCAGTTGGACAAGTATTGAATGAGTAACATGATTTTTGTCCTGGAATGTTGGCAAAAAAAAAAAAAAAAAAAAAAAATTAATTTCATCTTCTTAGAGTTCAATTTAATGCTATTTTCAGTCTTGAAAGCAATCAGAATTCTCTTTATATAGCTTCCATTTTGTCAAATGATACCAAGATACTGAAAAAAAAAAAACTCGAAAATGCACCGCAGTCGCTATTTTAAACCATACACTAGGTCACGTTGATTTTCCCATCATGCATTGGGTGGGGCAGAATACTTTGTGGCATGCACTGCATAGACCCATTCTCTTGTATCTAGCCAAAATTTACCACTTTGCAGCTCATCAGAGTGGGCAAAGCTCATCATAGTTCTATGGCACAGACCCTGAGCTCATTGACTTCTTGACAATGACTGATTTACTCCACAAACTCTGATGATACTTTTTGCACTCCCCTCAGCCCTTTCTAGTTAAGTCTCTTGCTGCCCTTTACCCTTTCACCATCCACTGCCCTGCTGTTATCCGTAACCTATTACTCATCCATCTCCCTTTTGCCACCTGATGCCCTCGCTTCCTTCCTGCCCTGCAGCGCTGTATAGTCCTTGTGGCTTAGCGCTTCTTTTCGATTATAATAATAATAATAATGGGTTTAATATATTTATAGATGGGGTTGTAAGAGAAGTAAATGCGAGGGTCTTGGCAAGAGGTGTGGAGTTAAAAGATAAAGAATCACACACAAAGTGGGAGTTGTCACAGCTGCTCTTTGCTGATGACACTGTGCTCTTGGGAGATTCTGAAGAGAAGTTGCAGAGATTGGTGGATGAATTTGGTAGGGTGTGCAAAAGAAGAAAATTAAAGGTGAATACAGGAAAGAGTAAGGTTATGAGGATAACAAAAAGATTAGGTGATGAAAGATTGAATATCAGATTGGAGGGAGAGAGTATGGAGGAGGTGAACGTATTCAGATATTTGGGAGTGGACGTGTCAGCGGATGGGTCTATGAAAGATGAGGTGAATCATAGAATTGATGAGGGAAAAAGAGTGAGTGGTGCACTTAGGAGTCTGTGGAGACAAAGAACTTTGTCCTTGGAGGCAAAGAGGGGAATGTATGAGAGTATAGTTTTACCAACGCTCTTATATGGGTGTGAAGCGTGGGTGATGAATGTTGCAGCGAGGAGAAGGCTGGAGGCAGTGGAGATGTCATGTCTGAGGGCAATGTGTGGTGTGAATATAATGCAGAGAATTCGTAGTTTGGAAGTTAGGAGGAGGTGCGGGATTACCAAAACTGTTGTCCAGAGGGCTGAGGAAGGGTTGTTGAGGTGGTTCGGACATGTAGAGAGAATGGAGCGAAACAGAATGACTTCAAGAGTGTATCAGTCTGTAGTGGAAGGAAGGCGGGGTAGGGGTCGGCCTAGGAAGGGTTGGAGGGAGGGGGTAAAGGAGGTTTTGTGTGCGAGGGGCTTGGACTTCCAGCAGGCATGCGTGAGCGTGTTTGATAGGAGTGAATGGAGACAAATGGTTTTTAATACTTGACGTGCTGTTGGAGTGTGAGCAAAGTAACATTTATGAAGGGATTCAGGGAAACCGGCAAGCCGGACTTGAGTCCTGGAGATGGGAAGTACAGTGCCTGCACTCTGAAGGAGGGGTGTTAATGTTGCAGTTTAAAAACTGTAGTGTAAAGCACCCTTCTGGCAAGACAGTGATGGAGTGAATGATGGTGAAAGTTTTTCTTTTTCGGGCCACCCTGCCTTGGTGGGAATCGGCCGGTGTGATAATAAAAATAATAAATAAAAATAAATAATGGGTTGTGGAATAAGTTTAGGTTTAACTTTACAGACTGGCTCAAGTTGAGAGCAAGGCATCTAAGGACAGTGTTGCAGTGAAGTTTCAGTTTAACCCTTAAACTGTCCAAATGTAGATCTACGTTGACGTGCGTAGCACTCCGATCGCAGATCTACATTTTTTACATAAAGCGTGTAAAATCAGACAGATTTACATCTGGAGCGCTAGGCACGTCAACATAGATCTACGTTTGGACAGCTGAAAGGTTAAACTAAGAGATTTAGATTTTTGCCACCGGTGACTAGTTTGTACACCCTCTATCCATCCTGTGAATGGTAATGCAAGAGCATATGGCTACACAGAAGGCCTAGAACTAGGCCTCCAGAGGATTTACAGAGTACACTGGATTTATCTACATTTCACTTGCATTAAAATCAAATTTAGGAATTTTAATATATCTGGTATCTTATTTTCATTAGAAAGTTTAATTGACATATCACATAGGTTATTATACTGTCTGTTTATTCCTCAATAAGTAGACAATTAAGCAGTGTGTTTAAAGATAATGACTATAGGACTGTTCATGTATTTTGCATTTGATTTATCTATCTGCCAAACTGCCAGAAGTACTTGTAACCAACCAAGCCTAAGCCTGGTCACTTCATTGCAAGTTGCTACATAAACGTACCTGTCTACGTTTGTTATAATAATGGGTTATAATCTACTCAGGCTTCTAGTTGCATTCCCATGAAGATTAAAGGGATTAAATGTTTCACTAGTTTTCACAGATAACCCATACCTAGAGGAAAAACACTTGCAAGTATGCATTCTGAAATGTTCTAGCTTTGATATCACTTATTTTTCTATTTCTAGTATAAGCAACTTTAAAAAATTATTAGAGTAAATTGTCTTAATCTGTGCTGTTCAGGGATAGTCCCTTCCAACCCCTACTTCTCTACATGCTTGTGATTGAAAATGTGCATTGTTTTTCAGCTACTTTGTGGAATGGATTCCAAACAATGTGAAGGTTGCTGTGTGTGATATTCCACCAAAGGGCCTTAAAATGTCATCAACCTTCATAGGCAATTCTACAGCAATACAAGAAATTTTCAAGGTAACTTATATTTTAGTGTGTAGGGTGTTGTGTAAACCCTTTTTTGAAAATTTTGAATAAATAAAAAATCAGAGCATATAGAATGTTAGCCTTGTACATGACTGTACTAATAAAATGACTTTCACAGCTATAGCTAACATAAATGTTCAGTTCTAAGTTTGTGTAAAAAAAAAAAAAAAAAAAAAAAAAAAAGGCACATAGCTATTTAATACAGTAGTCTCCCATATCCACTGGGGATGTGTTCATAGACCTAACCATGGATAGTAGCAAAGTAATTCTAGAATTAGCACTTTTTCAATGATGGGAAGCATTTCATGACTTCTCTTAGGCTTTTAAAGAACTGCCAGCATCACTACTTTTGTGCTTTGAGGCCATTATTAAGCAAAATTAAGAGTTATTTTTGGGCCACAGTACACTGTGGATATGGGAAGCCTGTATTTTTCAAGGTTCCACTGTTACTGATTTCATGTAGTAAAGATTTTACTTTAATTTAAGCAACAATGTTGCACATTTTCCAGTTTTTCTACTTGGTAACTAAATTTAGCTACTGTAAAGAGCAAAACAGAAAAGTTTGTTTTCCATACAGGATTCCTGTAAGAGGACAAGTAAATCTTTAGTGCTGCTTTATACGTTAAGTACTGGTGAAACGGTTTCCTGTAGTTTTTAGTATTGTAATTGTCAGTTTAGGTCCAGTCTACCTGACTGCTGGGTTGGTGCTACCCAGGACTGGTCAGATATATCTGATACTACACAGCTTATCTTTGTTTAATCTGCCTAGTGTCAAGTTAACTTTGATAGCAAATTTTATAACCCCAGACTAACAATACACACCTTAATGCATAGTTGAATTAATTTTTCATAACTTTTCTTTTGTTAGTGATGTTTGAAATAGATGCAACTCATTAATATTGTTAAAGTAGTTTTATTATTTTTTAACTTGTAGAATTCAGGTGTTGATGTAACATTTACTGTTTTGGGGTTTGTTCTAAGATGCTAATTTGCCAGAGCATTTCGTAGGTTTTATAATGGTATTTTTCTCCAGCGTATTTCAGAGCAATTCACTGCTATGTTCCGGCGAAAGGCTTTCCTCCACTGGTATACTGGGGAAGGTATGGATGAGATGGAGTTCACAGAGGCTGAGTCAAACATGAATGATCTAGTGTCAGAGTATCAGCAGTATCAGGAGGCTACAGCTGATGATGAGGAGTATGTTGATGAAGAAGAACCAATAGATGAGGAGGTACCAGAGGACCAATAGTTTACGTATGAAGAGAACATTGTAAAGTGGCCAGAAAATACTTCAAAGCAATACTGAAAATAGGTTATCACTAAAATCTTACTAAGAGAATCTCCAAGTACATAATGGAATTTAATTTGCTGTTAAAGTGAACAAGTCTTCAAGCAATTCTTTTAAACTGTCAGATTTTTTTTCTTTTGGTGGCAAGTACTTGGTAATAGAAAAATGTGCTAAAATGTTTTATTGCAGAAGTATCGTACAGAACTGCAGCTACAGTGTTGCTTTTATTTATAAAAGTATTAATTTGCTGTTAGCTAGCATTGAAAATACTCTAGTCACTAATATGCCTCTAGCTAAATTCTGCAAGTTAAATTCATTACTTTTTTCAACTTGTGTATTTACAGACTTCGATTTGTTCCAACAAAGCACCAAGACTTCCAACAATTGGATGTCTCGTGTTAAATGATCAGAAATTTTAGTAGCAAAATGCTTGAAACTTCATTGGAAATAAGTGCTTTATCCAGTCCAAAAGCCACAAGTTTTTATTTTAGACATTGCAAAGGATAGTATTTTGAGGTTTTAGGTAAATTTTGTTAAGTGTAAATGGCCAGCAGTGACACGAGTGGCCTAACAGAATACTGTTGGATGTCTGTGCTTCTTTGTCTGAATTTTTATGCCAGAATTATTTTGTTAAATTTGGAATAAAAACTTATTACCAGATGTTTTTTTTTTTCTCTCTCCTACCCGAAAAATTCCCACTGCTTTAACTCTAATTTGAAAGTACCCTGAACAATTTGGTGCGGAAAGATTTAAGAGCGGTTGGGGGTGCATTGAGTAATTGCTCGGATTCCTTGGTGAGGCTCTTGATCAAAGGGTAAAAAATAATGATCCAGGGAATTAACTTACCACAACTTTCCTTGAATCAAACCAGAGTGCCTCCCATTCTCCAGGTGTATGGCCCTACTCTAGGGAGGTTCCTTTATGCCAGTGAGTGAGGGCTCAGTTTAAGAAATGACTTGTGCTTCCCTAAATTACCCAGGTACTATGACCCCCCCCCCCCCCCATCCCCATGGGTTCAGTGCTCTCCCATGGATGTATAATCCTATGGGTTAAGTTCTTTTCCCTAAATGTGAACATAAACTGGTGGGAGCATGGAATAAAGGAAGGAGCATCCTACTTTCAAGGGTTAACCACCCCTACCCTTTGGAAGGGGGGCTTCTACTGCCACCTACTGAGACTTGGTTATTGGACACAGCCAGGAGACATCAGTTGCCCCCAATAATGGTTCATGTCATAGCTGGTGTCTACCCCCATCAGGCTCCTGTGCCAATCTAAAGAACCAGAAGTGGAATTCAAAGGATTCAAACACTTGAGTGCCAGTCTAGCTGGGACAGTATGTTAAATGCTCCAAGGGGTCTGGATCATCCTCCGAGCTCCAAGTATTGGAATTAAAATGTCCACAGAAATCGGGAGTGCTGGTTTGTAGCCAGGAAAGCACCCTGCATACTCTACCTTGTAAAGGAAAGTCAGATGCTTGCTCAGAGAAGTGTCTGGCTATCAAGTTTGAACCTAATCATACTGCCTCTTCAATGTTGCATTTATGGCTTGTGTGAACATCTTGAAGTGCTCATTATTCTTATAATCTAGGGGCAAGTGCTAAACCCATAGGATTATACAGTGCCTGAGGGGGATGAGGAAGGTAAGTTTAATTCAGGGAACTGGAGAACAGATCCAATTCCCTAGATCAAGAGCCTCTCACCAGCATCACCCCTCAAGGAAGGTTCCTTGATGTTGGTGAGGGGCTCTTGATTTAGAGAATTGGATCTGTGCTCCAGTTCCCCGAATTAAGCCTGAATGCCTTCCACATCCCCCCCCCCAGGCGCTGTATAATCCTCCGGGTTTAGCGCTTCCCCCTTGATTATAATAATAATCACCAGCATCAAGGAACCTACCTTGAGGGGTTGAAGTGCTAAAAAAAAAAAAACCATTCTTTTTTTGATAAACTGATAGTAGTGTATTCTGAAGACCTCAGCATGTCTTGGGCCTGTTAAAAGGTAAACTCCCCTCGGGGAAGGTTCCTTGATGTTGGTGAGGGGCTCTTGATTTAGGTAATTGGATCTGTGCTCCAGTTCCCCAAATTAAGCCTGAATGCCTTCCACATTCCCCCCAGGCACTGTATAATCCTCCTGGTTAAACACTTCCCCTTGATTATAATAATCCCCTGATGGACAGATGTAACATGATCAGAAAGATGTCTAGGCAGTTGTCCCCAATCAAACATTTTTGCAGAGGGCTTCTGTCTAGTGTTGGGAACTAGTCCTAAGCACCAGGCCTGGAAGTTTCTGGAGATGCTCTGCTAGTAGTGGAGGGCACTGTTGTGTGGAAACTGATAATTGGCATCACTTTGCATGGCTCTTGGGAAGGATGGGAACTATGATCCATTATGACAGTACCAAAACCTACCCACCTTCCTGACATTATTCTTGGATACATTTAATTTTATTTGGATAAGTGGGGTGCTTCTTACAGACGATAGTGGTCTGGCTATTCCCAAGCCATGCAAGGACCATGGAGGCTACATCTGCTGGTTGAGGATACTGAATGCTCATCTCGTCTGGTTCCTAGAGGTTAAAGGCAGCATCTCTGATGCAATTTGACTAACTCTGGTTCCTGTTGACAACCGACTCCATGGGAAAGCTTACGCTACGTGGAAGTTTGGAATGTTTTCCTCTTCAAGGGGGGGGGGGCTCCTTGGTGCGATGAAGAGGCTCTTGGTCTGAGGAATTAGATCTTTTGCTCTCCCTTAGACCAAACCTAATTACCCCCCAATCCCCCCTTCCCTATCCCATCCTCCCCATCCCCCCCTTTTCCCTTTCCTCCTCCCCATCCTCCCCAATTCCCTTCCTATTTTCAGCCTTTGGAATTCTTCCCACAGGCACTCTAGTTCCTAGGTAGGGGGAAGGGTACCAAGGTCCATCCCATTGCATTAAGGTCCTTGGCGGTGCTGTAGCTTGCCGTGGAATCTAGATCACGTAGAGGTGTCCCGATCCCTCTCTCGGTCTCCCGGGGGTGATTTGGGTGTTTTTCGGGTGACTAGTGTATCTCTGGAGTCTGTCTGTCGGATTCTGGGGGGTGGTGGGCAAAGGAGGTATGCGTTGTAGTGGGTGTCCGGCCACCCTCTCTTTTGTCCGCTGAGGTGACTCAGTGGATGTGAGGTTGCTATCCCAGATTGCTGGGTTAGTGGCATGAAGGGTAAGGTATGGCTTGGGTTCCATGCTGCACCTGCACCACTTGCAGTGCTAGGATCTTCTTGAGGATGGAGGGGGATTTACACCCTTTTTTGCCTCCTAGGAGCTATTTCCTCTCATTCCCTGCCCCCCCTTTTTTTCTGCAAAATAGAAAGAAGTGACATAACCACGGAGTCCCAAATCCATGAACCTGCTCCCCCCTGGGCCCCTTACTAATACCGCACCCTGTTCCAACCCTGTACCTCTTGCTAGTGCCGTTTCGTCACCCCCTTCAGGTACTGGGGTTCCGACCGACTCCTTTGATGTGTTGACCTTTGACTATGCTTCCTGCTTCTCCCTCTACGGTGCGGCAATTTTTGAATCTCCTGCCCGTCCCATGTAGGTCTAACTCTGGTCCCGCACCTAAACACCCTGATAAATGATGATACTTCTTCACTTCCTTCTCCTTCTACTCAGAAAAGACCAGCATGTCACGCACTTCCTTTACATGCTATATTTCAAAATACACAATGGACTTTAGTTTTTTACTCTATGACCGACTTCCTCTACTGCCTGTCTTTCCGACCATAGTACTTTGGCAAAGCGCTCCTATGCCATGTTGGTAGAGATGTATCCTTTCATGTTCTCGAGAGCGGTACATGCATTATCACTGTTCAGAATGCTAACCAAGCTCACGATCTTTCTCTCCGTACAACTATCGATACTATTCCTGTAACTATTGAAAAACATTCCCTCAATTCTTGTAGTGGTACTGTCATTCTGCCCCATACCATTGTCAACAGGATTTTCAGATATGTGGCAATGACATTCTGGAACAGTTTGAACTCAAGACCTCCCAATCCTCAAAGTAGACACTTATGTCCTCCCTGCCCACAGGCAGAGACAATACCCTTGCAATGTAGCTCGTTTGACTTTTGACTGCTGTGAGCTTCCATCCTCTATATATTGCGGGACACCATTTACAAGTTTGAATAGTGATCCCTACACCACAACAGTGTAGAAATTGCTGGCATTTTGGTCATCCAGCAAAATATTGCAGGTCCATCGCTGAATGCCCAGTCTGTGGTGCTGACAACCATACCAATACAGCTTGTCATCTACCTCCCTCTTGGCATAATTATCATGAGGCTCATCCATCTTACTCTCGCCGTTGCCAAGTTTACTTAAATGAGCATGAAATCTGTTGTCTCAAAGAGGCAGAAGGCCTCCCATATGCTATGGTAGTCTCTCACCTATGCCTCCAAGGGAGACTTCCCCGTATTTCTTATTCTTGAGTTATTAATGTTCCCCCCTCCTTTGGGGTCCCAACTCCTGCAGCCTCCTCTGCAGTCACCCCTTCCACAGTCACCCCTGTCTCTAATTATTTTGCTGTCCTGGACTCAGCGGTCCCAACCTCAGCACCTCATTTTGGTCTCACCTCTTCTTCCTCTTACTCATGAGTTTCTGTATCTACAAGACCTTGTATAACACCTACTCCCCATCACCCCTCTCCTCCAAAGTTCACAACATCCCCATTGTTAAAATCTTTAACACCTTCCCTTCTGCAACCTGCGCATTTTTCTTTCCCAGTCTTTGTCCCCGGTTCTTCACCTCTAACTGGCTCTGTTATGAGTGTGGGGATTCATCCTTCTCCTCGTACTGTACCTTCTTTCCCTGTCCCCTCCCAAGTTTCTTCCTCTTCTGCCTCCTCCTGGTTTGCTTCCTCTCCTGTTCCCTCCCAAGCTTCTCTAGTTCCCTCTACCCTTTCATCCTTCCCTACTTTAGTATAGTCCATTGTCACTCCGATCTTTACTCACCCTCCTCCTTCCATCTCCAATATTGTACCACATACAACGTCCTTGTCCTCTGAAACCCTTGAAGCTATCTCAGAATATATCGAGGAGACTAGACCATTGATGGACACTGATCCACCTCCTGTTCCTCCTCTTCACTCTTCTCCGTCTGCACAACTCCTTTCTTTGCAGCGTCCCAATCCTTCCCTGCTTAAAAGTTTTCCGCTACCTCCCCATGTGGACTTTTCTAACCCTACTAGTCCGTAGATACCTCAACCTTCAGATTTCTTGTATCTTTCTCTTCACAAATCATGGCTTATTTACAGTGGAATATTTCCCAGTTTTCCCCTGTTTGTGTTTGTTTACAAGAACCCAAATTATGCTCTGCTGTTGTCCATCTCATCTCGGGCTATGATTTGTATTCATCGGATCCATTTCCCAATGGAACCTTTAATGAAAGTGCACTTCTTATACGCACCAGTATTCCATACCGTCAGCTCTTTGTTCATACTTCGCTGCATTACACTGCAGCCTGTATCCACTTGAATAAGTGGTATACAATCTGTTGTTTGAATCTCTCTCCTCAGGCATTATCTATCCTAGATGTTGTATTTCTGGTTTCTGTTACTTTGTGGTTTTAATGTCCACTATTTCCTATGGGAAGGGTCTCACTGTGACTCCCATGGCATTCAGTTGGAGG